GTGTGTGTGTGTGTGTGTGTGTGTGTGTGTGTGTGTGTGTGTGTGTGTGTGTGTGTGTTTGGGATAAAGGCCAAGTGTGACTGTGAGTCTCTCAGCAAACCCTCGACATTTAACCAAGCACATCAGCCATCGGCTGCACTAGAAATACCCAAACGAGCACAACGGCCCAGACACACCATCACACCGACACATCAAACAAACTTTATTTATTAAGCAGATTTCATGTGGAAGACTTGATGTTTCCACAGATGTGATTATATGATCCATTCTGATGCTTAGATCAGTGATTTGTAGGTTTGGAATTAAACATTTCTAACCAGGAAACAGCAGGAAACTCTAATCAAAGATTCCTCTTCCAGGAACACCTGTCCCTCTGATACACAGGATCTGTACCAGCAGCAGCAGAAAGGCTGCAACTGTTTCCACCTTATGAGTGCTTGTGCTTTTCATCATGGTGAAATGTGGCCCTGGAGTCCACTGCTGTAGCACGAACTACAGCCGAGGCTATTCTGAATGCTCTGCCATATGTTTATATGTCTGTATGCAGATTTTCAATCATAAAACTTTAAAAGTGCGCAGCTGAGATCAAAATTAAGGCTCGTGTTAAGGAAGCGTGTAGTCCAGCTTGTGAGTACTGAGTACTACTGAGTCCCAGATATACATTTAATGTTTTTGCAACCCAATATATGGGGTATTTATCGGGTGTATTACATTTGTTTTGGGGTTTTTCCCAGTGACGGTGTTTCTGTTATCAGTTTGTAAATTGGTCTCCAGTTTTTCTTATGATATTGCATTGACCAAATTCAGCTTGGATCCTTTTTACTGTCAGTGATTGATGAAAACTGTGAGGTGTAGAGTTTGACTGAAGTGGAGCGTGCTGCATAAGTCTGAGAGAAAGTTTGTTACTCTTACCTGGGCTTAGGTTATAATTCATCATAGTTACAGCTATACGATTTAAATGTTTCGAACGTTTTACTTTCATGGGATTAAAAATTGCCAAACACACCATTTTGGAAAGAAAATGCTGGCACAGCTTTTCAACATTTCTATGACATTGTACAGACTGTTCCAGAGGAGGAACATATTAACATATTAAACATAAAAAAAGGTATGTCCCAATTCGAAGGCCGCTCCAAATGCGTCCTCCTTTTCCCCAGATTTGAAGGATGGGTCGGTTGTATCCTTCGTGGCCCAACCTATCCCAGAATTCATAGCGCAGCCCAGCCAATTCCAGTTTCCAACAATGGCGGCAGCTACTTAGTTTAAATATTACTCTTATTACTCTGTCTGGGTCACAAATAAACGTTTAACATATTTTCAGGCTAGAATGTAGCTGTGTAAACTTCAAATATCTGCTCGGTTTATCAAGACATCACATATTTGTAAAAGTCCCATTTCTGTCTCGGTCTTCGAAGGACCCGGCCCACGTAGACGGCGAAGGCCGGGTCCTCCGAAGCATGCGGCCTATGAGTTGGGACATAGCTAATGTTTCAGTTAAGGTCACTGTGAATGATCCCAAAGCTCAAGTTGCAGAATGTTTTGCGTACTCTTGAGTCTATATGATGCCACAAAAAGGGGACATCCCCAATGTCGTCATCACATCTCTAACTGTGAGCGCTGAACCTCCACCTGCTGTTCCAACCTCCTGTTTGTGAGGAGCAGCCAGTTTAGAGAAAGTTGGCTTAAAGGGGGAGGAGCCAAAATGGCTCGTTACAGAAAGAGGACGAACTGAGGAGCCAGTATAAGAGCTGTAATGATAATTATGAATATTAATCATGCAAAGCGTCTCTAGCTATAGCCTTAGCAGACTGTATTTTTCCTCTTCACAGGCTCATATGGATGCAGCGAAGGCTTCGAGGCAGAGCCGTCTTCTTGCATCTGTATTGCCTCAGCTGCAACAGCGCCAGCGTTGGGCCTGTCAGAGGCTGAGCTCATGAGCACCATGGTCCTTGATTAAACTAATGTCCACTTCACAGGACTCAGAGAATTTTGCTGCTTTCTATATTTCTCTGCACTGGAGATCAACAGGTGAGCCCCGTCTCACACATTCAAACCTCTTATCTTATTCTCCTTTTAGCATGTTTACACAGTGGGTGGGGTTTAGCTCAGGGTGAGGTTACACTTTGGGGGTAAAAGAAAACACAAAATCGCACAACTGGATCAATGGAACTAAATCTACACAGATGTCCTTCGTTCATTCCAGTGCACGTTTTTGTTCCCCGTCTATGCACCGACTGTGACAACTCCAGAAACCGGCTCCTTGTTTCCTGCACAGCTTCGCCTTATCTCTACTCGTTTAGTATTGCAGTTATCGCACAAATACTCTCTTATTTTGCACTGAGTCTACAAAGGCGGCTCTTTTATTGCACTGAAGTGTGATTTGTAAGCTTACATGCTATATAAACACTGAGCTTATCATTAGCAGAGTCTGGAAAACAGAAAGGATTGGCTTTTGTGGCCTAGTGTTTTCAGCTATTATCATCAACATATCATCAGCTTTTAAATTATCTTAGCAAACTGTGTTTTCACTTATGTTCTGCAAACACACAGTGATCATTAGCAAAATGATTATTGGGTGTTTCAGTGGCTTTTAGAGCTTTTACTCTGAGAACAGCTGCCTGCTGCAGTTATAAAAACAGCCAGAGTCAAAACACTAACATTGTGGGGAGACAGAAAAACATGACCCAAGACTGAATCCAAGATCTGTGAAGTCCAAATCAGCTGCAGAATAAGCTGAGGATTCTCTGTAGGTTAATCGTTACTAGCGACACCTGAATACTGCCAAGACATACATCATTTAATTAAAACACTGACTTTAAGCACTTTAAGAGGAGACAGGTAGGAAAGTCCCTCTGATGAATACGTGGACCACTAAATTCCACATGCAGAGATTAGCAGTTTTCACACTCGCATCTTAACATCTGTACACATTACTCAGTGGTGCTGCATTCAAGGTCCAAAGACAGCGCACCAAAATGTTCTTGTGGTTTAATAAAATGAATTTTAATGCAGAAAAGGTTCAAAATTTATCAGAATTAAAGGATGTTCACAGATTTTAGTGGGCGTCACATCTGCTACCTCCTCCTTCTCTATTCAGTTAGCTCATGTAAACCCCACAGAGCGTTTCCAATAATGCAAATGAGCTGAAAGTGGACTACATCCCCCACGAGTCAAGGGTGGAAATCTGAAGTCTGTTTGAATTTCTAATAAAATTAAACCCTGCATCATCCACAAGGATTCAACAAAATATGAAATCTTAAATTGAGGCTGCTGTTGTTTTGCAAAGGAGAAAATAATCTATGTATTTGTTCCCAGGTTTTTGTGTTATTGTGGAGTTCTAGTTTACATTTAGATTTTATTATTATTCCCCTTCTGGTTTTAGTGTCATCAGTGTTTCCCTGACTTCGCCTCTGTCCTGTCTTAATCCGGTCTTTAAGTCTGACGTCATTCGCCGTTTCCAGGTCCAAACTGCGCTTCAGGTCCCAAAGTCAAACTAACACTGCAGCATCACTGAGAGTCACAAACTGTCTAAATTCTTTCATCATTAATAAAATGATCAGTGTTGCTGCTTTACCAGGTGTAACAATGAAGTAGCTTGCTAACCTAAATATGATATAGCATGTTCTGACTTAAAAATTCAAACGCACAGCTTTGCTATCACTTCCAACATAACTGAAGACAGAAAACTAAACATTAAAGCATTAAAACATGTTAAAAACACAACAGCTTTAACCTCCTAAGACCCGAACTCTTCCACGGCATGCATTTTTAATTTCTCTTTGATATTTGGGCTGATTGGGACCTGATTAATGTAAAAACAAAGAATTACCAGATTTTTTTTTTTTACCTAATTTTTGTTTCTAAGAAAAATGAGAGCCATAAATGAGGACATTCTTTTAAAATTTTGATAAAACAGTAGCAATATAATGTCCTCGTAAGTGGATATCAGGCCCTTGTAGAGCAAAATTGAGTATTTTGGTCTAAATAACCCAAAATGTGATGTCCACATATGTG